GGGGGGCGCCTCGAGGGATGCCCTCGTCTCACGCTGCTGCTGCTGCCTCTTTGGGGACGGGAGGGGGGTGTGCGTGTGCAAAGTTTCCTTCTTTTACAAACATCTCCTTTTTCCTCAACTTCCTCTTGTTTTGAAATTATGGCTCCCTTCCAGCCGGCCGGCCCATCCTATACCCTGGGGGTTGGTGTTCATTATTTCCCCTTAAGTAGCTTTTCTCTCTCTCTTTTTCCTTTTTCTTTTTGAGATATGGATACAGCCATAAATCTTTGGGATTGTCTGGGTTTGGGGAGGTAACAAGTGGGACTTGGGGGTTCTGACCAGTGACGCTCCCCGCTCCCCCAAAATGCGAGAGAGCCTCACCTGATCTGGGACACCACGAGCCGGTGCTGCTGCTTCCTGGCATCCGGGGGGGGGGATGGTTTAAGAACGGCCGCCTCGGCTACTGCCAGGTTGGGGGCATCATGCGTGGTGGGTGGGGTGTTCCAGTGAGCGCGTGGGCACTCCGGGGGGCCTGGATTGGTTGGGACCGCTTGTAAATGTGAAGTCTTTTTTCCACTTGCTTGTATTTATATTCTAGAGAGGAGTGTGTAGTTTTTCTCCACAGCAGAACGTCCACATGACACAGCCAACATGAGCCACAGCTCACTCGTCTCCATTCTCTCCCGGCGCTCGCCGCCTTTCCCTTCGGGTCTGCTTAGATTCCCCCACTGATGGGTGTGATGAAATGGATGAGGGGAGAGAAAGAGGTGAGGGGACTTCCTTCATCTTTGCAACAGACCTGTCGAATATCCCCCCCCAGGCCGTTCACAGATGGGTTCACAGAATGGATTTTTTTGCCATATATGCCAGCAAATCAGGTGGTTTTTCTGGGGTTCACGCGGTTGGGGGGGGGGTTAGAGCATCCGCAGGGCACCACTGTCAGGGTTTGACCCCAGGAATGCTGCTAATATAGCCATGTCACTCTGGGTTGGGTTGGGGGGGGGCGAGAAGGTTTTTATTTTTCTAAGCCTCTGCTTTAGCTGTTTTTAGCCTCTTGGACTCAAGCTCCAGGCGTCTCTTCCTGCTCTTTGATACTTGTATTGATGAAATGAAAGATCATTGTACTTTGAGTGTTTTGGGGGATGGGACAGGGAAGAGAGATATATATATTGTGGTTTTTTAAAGAAAAAAAAGATAACTTTTTATTTTGGTTTTTTGGAAGAGAAAACCTTTGTAATAAAACTGGTCTGTTTCTCCGTTTTGTGTGTTGTGTTGTTCCCAGTTTCCATGCATTCAGAACTGAAGAATACCAGCTCAGTGGTTAGGTCTCCTGGGATAAGAGCCAGCCTGTGTGGCCTTGGGCAAGCTGCGCAGTCCCAGGATGCCCTCTGGAAGGAGGAGCTGGCTGGATAACTCCGTGGTTTAGCAATCTGGATGCAGAGCCAGAGGTTGGGAGTTTGATTCCTCACTGGGCCTCCAGGGAGAAGAGCCAGCCAGGGTAGCCTTGGGCAAGCTGCACAGAAGTGCCGGAAGAAGCGAAGGGGAAACCACTGCTGATAATACTCTGCCTAGAAAACCCTGGAAAGGGTTGGCATACGTCAGAATTGGCTGGAGGGCAGATGATCATTATTATAAAGGTAGAAGGCTTAAGGGGGGATGGTAGAGACCGGAGAGCAGTACTGGAGTGGCCCACCTTAGGGTTTCATTAATTTCTCTCCTAAGGCCCATGGTTGGGTTTTGGCCTTTTAAATCCATTAAGAGATGATCACGTGGGACGGAGCCAATCCAGCACTTCAAGTATTACATACAGGTTAGTTACCGGAGGAACCGATGACACCTTGTTTTGGATTTTGCAACATGGGCCCTTATTCTTTTAACACGGAATATAGCCTGAAGAGCTAGGACTGGAGACTGAGGCTGTTTGGGGCACATCACGAGAAGGCAGGAGTCCCGTCAGGAAACGGGAACGCTGGTCGCAGTGGAAGGCGGCAGGAAAGGAGGGAAGACTGACCCAAGGTAGAGGGACGGTGAAAGGCTGCATCATCGCCTTGAGCGGCAGTCCCTGATCCAGGCTCTTTCACCGGTGGGGGTCTCTCCGGAGGTCCCTCACTCTTAGGGGGCTGAAGTCCGAAGCCGATGCAACAGCTGGCAGGTTCAAACTGCAGCAAATGGAGCGATTGTCCCTGAAAAGCGGTCTTCGCTGGTTCGTGTGGGGTGTCGGTATGGCCCTTGCTGTAATTTCTGGCCGAAGGAAGCGCCGCCTGCTTCAGCCGAGGAGTGATGTTCCTTTAGTCACAGAAGCGGGGAAAGAGAATTGATTTTGCCTTTCCCCAGCCGTGAAATCCGATCCTGCCCAAGCGGGGCTGAGTGGGCGTGCTCGGTGCCACCTGGAAACGGGCCTTTTGAGTCCCCGCATCGCAAGAGCCTAAAAAACCTGGGAACCCCCTTGCTCTCGCTCTTACACACACACACACAAACACTTGCTGGCCTTCTTTGCCCCAAGTTGTGGGTCGAAGCCTCTTGGGGAGGCTGAAGCTCCATTCCGGAAGGGCCTCTTCTGTTCTTTTGCCAGCGGGTGCCCAGCCTCGCTGGCAGGCTCCCTTCTGCAAGGCAATTGTCTGGCTGGTGGAAGCAACCGGGAGGTGGCCAACGAGCCTTGGGCTGTTGCAGCAACCGTGCGTAGCGCACCGTCTGGCAAACTCCAGCCGGCTATACTTGCTGCCAAACTCTGAGCAAATGATGCCGCTGGTTTTTCTTTTCCTTTTTAAAAAAGGAAATGCATCAGAAACTGTACCGGATCTGAGTCTCGTATCTGTTTTAGAACCTGCCTTTCTCGGGTAGCCCCAGCCGGTCCGGATGTCTGTTGCAGTTAGTGAAGTTAGTCTTGGATGCTCACCTTCGGCCGCTCTGTTACCGGCAAGGCAGTGTGCCACTGCCTTTGTAAACGGGGTAGGTGTTTCTCTCTTCCTGGTACCTTCACTGTACTTACTTTTGGGAAGACCTGCAGCTCGAGTTGAAACTTGCCTGTTTTTTTTTTCAACTTGGCTGCTTCGGTGTTTCTCCCGAGCTGTCCTGGGGCCCCTTTTGAAAGGTAGAAGGTGCAAAAACAGAAACGAAAACCCTTACATGGTAATAATCTTCAGATATCCTTCGTAAGTGCCACAGGGCTTTTCAACTTCAGGACCTGGTGGTTGCATTACAGAGAATATCATCCTCACATCATCCCTGATTTCTCTGTTCCTCCGTCGGGTACTGATCTCCCACTATTCGTTTGAAAGACCGTAGAGAAAAGGCAACAGTTAGGTTCAGGTTTTTTCGACCAACGAAGACGCGCCTGAACTGGCCTGACCCGATTCCGAAGGGGGTGCTGGTTTTTGTTTGACTAGTTTGCATAATCCTGCATCTGGGGGATTCTGGGCTCTGTAGTCCCAAAAGGGCGATGCCTCCCAGCTGTGGTTATTTGGGACTGAACGCTAAAGACCTTTCCAACATTAAGGTCTGTTTGTATCCTAATGATCTCCACTACCTCCCCCCCCCCCAACAACTGCACATGCTTTCTGGCACTTCATTTGCAAATCCAAGCCACGGCCACACCTCAAACGAGGCAAATGGCACCGTGGTGCCCTCCTCCCCGTTTCTCCCAACCTCGGTCCCGCAACCGAGCCTCTTGATCTCGACAAGCAAATATTTACAACGGTGGCTGCTTTGTTCTCTCAAAACCAGGAAATGTACTTTAGCCTTTCCACAAACATGGACGTGGATGATTGCACAAATAGCTTCTGGAAAGCTAAGTGACCGCCCCAACGGTGGTTATGAATTCCAGAAGTTAATTAAACCACCCTAATTGCAACGTTGAAAAGGCCTTCGGGATGTTCAGCCTCGGTTCCAAGGGGTTCATCAACCGCCACACCCAGGGTCCAAAATTTTGATGCTTCCTACCAGATGCCTGTTAAAAACTGGATGTTCGTATCTTGGGCTTAATAATCAAAAACTGACCCTAGAAAACGGCCTTATATAAGTTGTGCCTAAGAGAAGCATGTAGGGGAAGAAATTATCCCAATTATAAGGTTACCAAACGCTCAGAAAATGCAGTTTTGCTTTTGGCCTTATATAAGTTGTGCCTAAGAGAAGCACGTAGGGGAACCAATTATAAGGTTACCAAATGCTTAGAAAATGCAGTTTTGCTTTTACAAGCCAACCTTTTCATGTTTTATCAAAAGGGATGTAATAAACAAGCTGGCTGGGTCGCTCGGTGGCTTAGGTGCCCGCCTGCAAAACCAGAGGCTGTGAGTTCAAAGGATGTAATAAACAAGCTGGCTGGGTCGCTTGGTGGTTTAGGTGCCCGCCTGCAGAACCAGAGGCTGTGAGTTCAAATCCCCGGGAGAAGAGCCAGCCTGTGTAGAAAGCCGCACAGCCCCAAAGGCACCCCCAGAAAGAGGGGACGCTAAAAACCACTACTGAGTATTGACAGCACCTAACAAGAGTATAGCACATCAGCATGAATGGAGAGAAGGGATCTTGATTGCAAAATTTGGGCTAACGAATGCCAATAGCCCACAAAACACAGACTTGCATAGCCTTCTCTGCTTTGCCAAAAAGAGATGTAATAAAAATGCAAAATTTGGGCTAACGAATGCCAATAGCTCACAAAACACAGACTTGCATAGACAGCCCAGCCTTCTCTGCTTTGCCAAAAAGAGAGGTAATAAAAACGAGCTACTGCACTATCCACATTGCAGGGCAGAATGTTTTCTGAGCCACCCTCCTCTTTACGCCCCCCCAAAAACCTTTATGAAGTTACTGAAGGATCGCCTCGTTTTTCGCAACGCTCACGGACACTGAATGGCCGGGAGCGACGGATGGCAGGATCGGAGCGAGTCAGATTTGCCAGGCTAATTCCCTACAAACGGGAGAGTTTGACACTGTTTACTCTGCCGTGACCCACTTAGTGAAAGCATCTGAAAGCGTCTTCGCATCTCCCCCCCAAACGTGTGCTGTGCAAGGGCTACACCTCCATATGGCCCCAGAGAGCAGAATCTGTCCCCCTGCATGCCGTGCTTAGGAGCACCAATTTGCGAAATCTCGCCCCGCGTCAACAGCTGTGCCATAGGCGACGCCATGCACCGGCCTTCTCAATGCATATTAATCTGGTTTGGGGAAGACACCAGCCCCCTTGTCCCCCCCCCAAATCTGGAGAATCCAGTTTTTCTTCCACCATTTTAGAGGGAAGAAGCTCCCCAATTCCTGCATCTGGTGTTTGCTGGAGAACCTCCTCTCCAGTCCGCCTGCCTCCATCTTGAGAAAAATTGCATCTCCTCTCCCGTTTGGCCACTGCGGTACCACTGAAGAGGCATCTGTGCCGCCTGGCAGTCTCTAGGATGTCTCAAAATGGCTGCCACACACACCAGTGAACAGACAACATGGGAGATGAGCGCTTCCAAGAACAAAGCCGCCCCCCCAACCCCCGACGGCTTCCTTCTTTCAAGACAGCCTGGCCAGGTTGACCCGCTTGGAGCTGGGCCATTCCATAGGAAAAATGAACTATTCCTTGCGTTTCACCTCTTAGGTCCAGCCAGACCTTAAAACGATCTGCCTTCTACCGATGGCAGGCGCGACCTGCTCAAAGACAAAGTCAACCGACAAAAGGGTTTTTGTCACATTGTTCGAGGTGCGGCCATGGCTCGGATTTGCAAATCAAGTACTAAATTAAGATGGGCACCCAAGCCAGGTTTCCTTTGAGGAGGGAGGGGGGGACACCGGTCTGATGGATCGTAACTGCTTTATCTTGCCACAATCTGCATAGGATATCCGTTTTTTAAAAAATCCAACAGGCGTTTATTTGGAACACCGTTAAAAGTTCACCAACGTGGTGAGTTGCTGAGAAGGCCAGGCCTTTTTCCTCCTTCAGCCGCCTGCTGCTCTCAACCCTGAAAGGATAGCTGTAGGGGAAGGGGAAACGCCCCCAACACTCAAGGAAAACCAAATAAAAGCACTGACCACCGGTGTTAGGGGAAAAAAAGAAAAAGGAAGATCCCCAAACCAGCCGCTGGCATCGTAACCTTTCAAGATGGCTTCACACTTTGGACACCGCGGCTTCAATCTTGGCCCTACAACCATCTCTGACCCATTTTTCCGGCAACTCTAGAGAAGACCAGCCTGTCGGCCCTTAAGCTCCTGGCTTGCATTTCCAACTCCCAGCACGTTTGGGAAAGGAAACAAGAACACACCTGTACCCACTTCCTACCTACCTCCAGCATCTTTCTCGAACCTGTTCAGAGAATGGATCTCAAGGCAAATGTTCGGGGGACCCGGACCTAAACATTCGTTTCCACCGCTGGCAAACGGGTGCCACCGCCAAACGCAGCAAGAAGCATAAAAAGAACCCAAGCCTCATCCATCAAGGGAGGGGAGGGGGTCACCATTTATTCCTTTCAAATGTTACAATAAGACCCATACAACTTTTATTTAGGAGTTAGAAAATTGCAGATCAGAAGTTGGGTCATTAAAAAATTATTTACAAAGACAAAGAAACAAACAAAAAAAAACCCGAAGCACATCATACAGCCAAGGACTCTCCCGCAACCGTTAACAAGCTTTATGGTTTAAAGCCAATAGCAAGACATTATAAAAAACTAACCAGATTAGCTTTTAAACTGTTGGTTTCTATAAAAAGCACAAAATACTTTTAAATGAAGTCCGAACCAGGAATGTAAACCGAGAGATAAAAGAAGATCCGTGTTTTGTTTCGGAGGACGGCCGGTTGCTGGTTTATTGGACTTTCTGCAGAGGAGGAGGAGGAGGAGGGGAGGGAAAAAGCTGCTTTGAGGATTATTAGTAGAAACAGAAGATCTGAGACCAGAATGTTAAAACTCGGGTGTTAAAACTTGGAGTCTCATGAAACTGAGCAAAGTTCTCCTTTCAGGTCCAGGGAGGTATTTCCTCCGTACAGTTTTAAAGAAGGACTTGAGAGCCCCAAAACTCCTGAGTGGGCAGCAGTGGCTGTTTTTTCCTCCCCTCTTTTATTTTCTTTTCCTTTCTTTCTTTCTTTCTTTTTTTTGCTTGACTGTGGTTGGCTGAGAAAAAGGGACAACTCTGAAGTGAAAAAGCTCGTCAGTTCTACTCGGAACGGATCGGAGGAACTTGTGTTTTGTGGCATTTGGTGGGTGTTCGTGTGTGTGCACAGGGTGTTGTGTGTGTGTGTCTCTGTGTGTGTGTATATGAACAAGGCAGCCGTTCCATGGGATTTCTGGGATGAGAAGGATGGCACAAAAAGTCTTTTATTTTACCTTTTTTTTTCTCTTTTTTAAAATTTAGGTGGACTTTCCAAGAGGGTGGGGGCTCTATTCTTCCTTCTGCTCGGCGGGCGCCGGACTGCATTCCGCCTCTGCTGGTTTCGAGACTTCCTCGGGCTTCGCCTCCGCCTGGACCTCGCCGGCCGGAGGGGCCTGCTGCGGCTTCGCTTCCTCCTGGGCCGGCCCGTCGCTGCCCTCG